ATGCCTCAAAACCAGAATTTATTTGTGCAAAGCCTTAGAAGTCAGTGCTGTCCATATGCCGCATGTCACAGATAGGTTGGGGGAGGTTTGCAGGTGCCAAGGAGAATCAACAAATGTGAAAGGACAGAGAGAGGACAAAAGAAAGTGTTTTATACATCAAGGTTCTAGTGGGATGAGTTATATAAATTTGAGCATCGGAAGTCTTGCTCTCCAAGCAAGAGCCTGTGGCTGACGGAAAGCTAGAAGTAGGAAGCGCCATATGCCATGCACAGTGCCTCTTGCTCTGGGGGAGCCATACTGGATGGCTCGCAGGTCACAATGGGAAGACTGGCTGACGGATAAAGTTGTCATCAGTGCTAGAGACTTCATCCACACTACTGTTTTCTAGCTCTTCCAGAAACACACATTCCTTATTGTCTTTTCTCACTTGATGTTTATGGTGACTGTTACATGGCTGTGTCTCTTGAGAGTGACTTCTGATTTGTCGTGTGTTGTAACTAAGGCAGAGTGGAGATTTTGAAATTCAGATTAGTTTCAAATTTTCTGTTGTTTTTTTTTATTATTTCTAGAGAAATAAAGCTGCAGAGCTTCTGGCAATGGTGAATCGGGTGTTTAGCTGCCCCTGTGTCATCATTTAGAATACCTGAGTTTGTTTGACAACTGTCAACACGTCAAGATAGGCAGGAAAAGTCTGGAGAAAGTGATGCCCAGTATGATTCAGGTCCTACACAGATTTCTTACAGCATTAAAATCTTAAAAAAAAATAAATAAAAAATAAATAATAAAAAAAAATAAAAATAAAAAACTTTATAATTCTCAGCTGAGAAAATGGAGACTCAGAGAGATAGAGCAGCCTGCCCCTGAGGGCAGTAGGGAAATCATTGAACCCAAGTCGAGACTCAAAGCTGCCACTTTCTTCCCAGCTAAGCAGGCTGCTGGAGAGTCTCAGCACTGTGCTGACAGCTTATCGGAAGTTGTCCACCTGCTTCAAATCCTGATCACCCATCTCCCCAATTCCATTAGCACTAGCCGAGCAAATCTGACCTTTGGTATCAAATGTATTCTGTGACTATCTTCTAACATTTCCTTCTATGTCACTAAAAGGTCAAATATTTCTCTCTGGAAAAAAAGCCGTGTTTAACAACTTGAAGTTCTTCATTGCCTTTGGGATTCTCCCTTTCAGTGTCTCAACACGAATTTCCAGATACAGAACTTGAACTTGCTGTTTGTTCATGTCAGGCTTCTGTGGTCCACTGCAGTTGGACAGTCACTGGGCTTTTTCCCAACGGGCTTAGCTCAGAACGTCGTGTAAACAGGCTTTGGCTTACCAAGTACAAAGGTCCCTAGAACTTCCTTTGATCACCGAAATGTCAAACTAGAACATTCAGACCAAACAAGACATCCCTACCAACTTGGACTAATTATTCTGGTTAAAATTGCAAATATAGAGAGCAGCTAGTAAACATGTAAGTGATGGCTGTAACATGTAGCATCTATACACAAGCTGGTTACTTCTAAACACTGATCTCAACTCCTTCTGCTTCCTAACATTCACTTTTAATAACCATCTCCCACATTCTAGGCAGCAGTGTAAGCCCCGGTAATCAGAAATAAAAAAAAAAAAATCATGGGAGGGACTATCTTAAATGACATGGAGAATTGAGGTAATATTTTTTTTTGGAACAGTCTGAATTGAAGCACAGTGCTTGGCTTGTACTTAAAACAGAAGGGAGGGCTGGGAATTTAACTCCATGGAAGAGTACTTCTCTAGCCTGTCTGAGGACCTAAGTGCAATTCCCAAGTTCCTGACGTACAAAGCCCGGGCATCTTTCCTGAGGTACCGTAGTCATCATAATGAACACGCATTGCCATGCTGGAGTTACCATCTGCATGAGGCATCATGCCCAGGGCAATTAAATCTGCCTGTTTTTTATTACTGAGACTAAATGCTTGGCCTAGGTTCATGCAGAAAATAAGTAATTCCATTACATGTGATTCACCTTTAAGTAACCCTCGACATTGATGAAGACTGCAGCTGAAAATTCCCATTTGTTACAGAAATTATCGATTTAGCCAACCTTTATTAGCTTCCCTCTGTTTACTGAGAAACACACAAAGATTTCAACATGCAAAATATAGTCTTTAGTTTTAATTAATGCACAGCTCAATTTTCCTAGAAGTCTTTCCATTTAAAAAAAAAATCACATTGGAGGGGACATTCCTTTTGGTAAGAAGGCAAGAATAGTTGTAAAGGCTTAGAGAAAGATATTCCAAGGATAAGAGGAACCAAGACTCAGTCTGGCAGAGGGGTCTATAGAATGCAGTTCGGCTGCTGCTGTGTGGTGACCTGCCCAGTCTGATTTCTTCTAACATCCCAGGGCATGTGATGGCCATGACTATGATTGCTACCTTCTAGCATTTGGACCAAGGCAAAGTAGTTCCTTCCTGTTGGATTTCTATCCATGCCTCACATCCAGGGTGAGGAAGACTCAGAGATGGAAAGCCAACGACACAGTTCTTAGATTCTCTCTCCAGTAAGCCCCAAGGATCCACCCATCTTCACCTCCTGAACTAGGGTCCCAAGTGCATACCTGGCTGGCTTGTGTTGTTTTCCTTATTATTTGTTTTTGGTTTGTTTTTTGGAACATGGGGGTCCCTTCCCCCATGGGTTCTGGAGATTGAACTCAGGTCCTCATTTTATTAACTCCCCTGATGTATATTCTTAAAGCCAGAAAGTTCTCATATGTTTTGTGTTGTTCAGTTTGTTTTTTAATTAGCTAACAGGTGCTTCAGAGAAAACACCAATCAGCACAATAATTTGTATTTCAAATTCAATTTTTACAAAGTATTTAAAGGACTTACTTGCTTTTAACCTGTAACCAATCATAAGGAATGTCTTTAAGGACAAAGGAGGGGACTTGATCTCTGGCTTTTGTAGGTAGTCTGGGGAGAAAGTAGGAATTGATTCCTGACACCTGACATGTAGATGGTGCAAATGCTGGTCCTCATGGCAGTGCACCCACTATAAGACATACAGCATCTTCCCTTCCACCCAGGCTGGGCCAAGCAAGTCTCAGAGTGACTCCTGCCTGCACCTGTTGTGGAGCATGAGGAAAAGGACCTTCGGGCTACAAGATCCATTCCTCTTGAAGAGCCACTACCTGGGACTTATGCAAAGAATAAACCTTCAGGCATTGCTAATGTTTGCATATAGTTAGTGTAATCTTTAGAAAGAATATATGTTACCTGGCTTAGATGACGCCAAGTTAGTCATTACTAATCCTCACAGCAGAAAGGCTTTGACAGCAAATCATTCAGGGCATCTCCACTGAACAAGAACAAGATGGAGAGCAACATCACAATGTGTCTCTAATGAGGAGAACATCTGTTATGTATCAAAAAAGGTTTGAAGAAGCAGCTTAGATAGGACTCTGGAGATGCAGAAACATACCAACGTTGAACATGATGCAGATACCAATGGACAGTGTAGCTCAGTATATGATGTAACTATATGACAGATCAGCAAATGGCTGGCACAAGAGCTACAGGGACTCCTGTGAGACAAGGGAAACAGCTAGAATGTCTTCTCACTTTATGGTGTCTCATCTTAATGGTACATCCTGTAGAGGGATGTCTCTGTGCGACAATGAAAACTGTAAAGATAGTCTCAGTAACTCTTCAGATTACGTATCTTTCTGATCAGCACTTCTTAAAACTCTGCAAAAGAGACACAAAAACAGCACTGTGGTCCCCCAGTTAGGTAACTGAGGCTTCATTGTGATCCAAGAGCACTGCCTGGCAGTGAATAGGCACGAGATGGAGAGCCAAGTCCCAGTGAGTCTTTGATGTAGAAAAATGGTGTGTGGAAGGCAAGTGTGGCTGCACGAAGCAATAGAGGCCATGCAAGATCTTGACCCAGAATAGAACAAATCATTCTGTTTCAACAGTAGTGATGAGCCTCACACCAGTTGAACCAGGTTAAGTGTGGGTTAGAAAACAGAGGGAAGACCCTCACACACAATGAAACTGACCTTCGTACACATGAAGCTGAACAGCCTCAAGTTCTAGAGGGAAAAGGAGCCTGCAAATCTGAGGACTGGAAGGAAGGTTTGGTGCCACACAGATCAGGGCAACAAGCAGAAGGAGCCACAGAAACAAGAGCTCCCAAAGAACCATCCCAAGATGCAACAAACTATCAGGAAGGGACAGCTGTAAAATTCCCGGTTCAGAGTCATACAGGTACAGCATGGCAGACAGCTTCATGGCAGAGTTGTCAGCTCCCACCTCAGGGGGAAGGGCTGACAGCAGTCTTGATAGCACTGGCTAGCAGAGCAGCTCACCTTGTCCGTAAAGGGAGAGTTTTGAGCAAGGAAGCAGTTTAACAGAAGCTAAGATAAGCAATTAGCTGGAGGAGATGGTTTGCACAACAGAGGCTAAGTTAGCTGGGGCATCTTGATCTCAGGCTCCTAGAATAGACTTGGGTAATTTCCCATTGGATTTTCCATCAAGACCAAATTTTAGTTAAGCCTAAAATGGCTTCAGTAATACAAGATGAAGAAACCTCTGCACTGTCTTGCCCTGTCTCATTGGCACCCTCTATTTTGGCTGGGGACCTGCAGACAATGCCAGAATGCTTTGCTCTCTTTTCTTCCCCTGAATGTGATCATCAATAGTGACAACACTGGTATCTCTGTGGGAACAGTGCTAGAAAGTGGCAACTACAAAGTTTGGACTCAGAATGAATGCAAGTTCAAAGTGGAATGTTGTTTTTTCTGTCTAGTGCTGCTGGCTAAAATGTTTAGTATTGTGCCAAACAACATTCATTTCTGATGTTTTGCAAGCACATATTTTTCTTCTATAGTCTGTATAGGATTTTCGTTATTACTGGTATCAAGGTCATAGGTTATGAAATTCACATACACACACACACACACACACACACACACACACACACACACACAC